GCAGGTTCCAGTAAATGTTCAACCAAGCCTCTTTCGTTACTTCTCACTAAAATATTGACAGTAGTGAAGGAAAAACTTCAAGAGTACTGTACAACTATATATTCAAGAAGTGGTGTAAATCAGATGTGGATACTTAAAAATTCTAAAGAACTTTTGGACAATTTGAAATCACAAAACTTTACAAAAATCAACAGCTTAAAAACTTACGACTTTTCAACTTTATACACAACAATTCCCCACGACAAATTAAAATCCAGGCTTTTTGATATCATTGACAGCTGCTTCTTCAACAAAAATGGAACTCGTAAATTTACTTACCTCGTCATTGGTCATTTGAAAAATTATTTTGTTAAAACAGATTCTGATTGCACACATAAGTACTCTGAAGTTGACATCAAGAAGATGCTTGAGTTTCTGATTGACAATATCTATGTGGTTTTTGGAGACCAGGTACTCCAACAATCTATTGGAATTCCCATGGGTACAAATTGCGCTCCGTTATTAGCAGACTTATTTTTATATTCATATGAAGCAGAATTTATACAAAATCTTATGCGTGAAAAGAAGAAAACACTTGCTGTGGCCTTCAACTCGACATTTAGATATATCGACGACGTATTGTCAATTAATAATGATAATTTCCATTCCTACGTCGACACGATATATCCTGGTGAGCTTGAGATAAAAGATACCACAGAGTCCGACACTTCTGCTTCATACTTGGATATTTTACTTGAAAAAGACGCTAATGGTAATCTAACAACCAAGCTATATGATAAACGTGATGACTTTAACTTTTCTATCGTCAACTTCCCTTACTTATGCAGCAATATACCTTCATCACCTGCATACGGAGTATATATATCTCAGTTGATTCGATACGCAAGAGCATGCTCTACGTATGAACAATTTCTTAAACGAGGTAAATTATTGACAAGCAAGTTGATGAAACAAGAATATGAACAGTCTCGTTTAAAGTCATCATTTCGTAAATTCTATGGTCGATACAATGACCTTGTCAGCAAATACAATTTATCATTGAATGAAATGCTGACTGACGTTTTTCATACCAATTGTTAGTCCATTATTTATACACTGAATTGACGACGGATTTTTTCCGTTATTTCCTGATTATGACAACGAGCACACGGCGGGTGTGACCGGTCAGCAGGGGATGCTCACTCCTCCATGGCACCTGATCCCACCTCTGATGTTTCGGAGGTCTGTGTTTGCTCTGCTCTTATTTTGTATATTGTTTAATGGACGTTGAGATTGAATACTGTTCGTTATTTCCATATCCTTCTTCCAACTGCTTAAGTACTTTTCTCTTCCTTTGCTATAAGTACAATTCAGTAGAGCTTCAGTCTCGACAGAAACTTCTGGTCTTTTTTTACCGTTGTTTGACACTGCAGGATACAAAGCATCCTTTTCAGCTGACGACTTGAAAAGTTTATCAATCGTTGGCATTCAAATTACATATTTTTTTTCTTATTCTTTTGTTTTTTTAAAGATGTTCCGTTGTTTGGCGTCATGAACAATCATGACAATATTATTTAATTCGAAGCAATGTAAACTGGAAAATCAAAATATTTTTTAATAAATGTAATATGTATATATCACAATCTGTAACTAATTGTGTCTACCAGCAAAGCAAAACTAGATAAACACACTAGATTCTCTGTCCCTCATTGGCCGGGATTCTATTTAATCCGCGCAGATTTCTCAACTATCGCAGTTCTCTCAGGTCATTTTCTCTCTTGTTGACACAGTTCATGTGCACAAGCAGCACATACATGTACACGTCCCTCTGGACAAGTTTTTCACTCATATGGAGACGGCACGTACGGTCATTGAGCAGTTAGGGATCTTTTTCGTGCCAGCACCTACTGTGACACGGAACCTCAGTTTAAAATTTCTTATCCAAAGGACCGGTCTCTTTGTCCAACAATGGGATTCGAGCCTGCGAGGTAAGGAACAACACCTTAACAGGGCAACATGATTATATTTTATATAGAAGCATTACAATATTTCCTTAGTAATTAAGAAACATTTTATATACATATAAAACAGTACAAAGCTCCACATAGAACAATCTACGACTGTAATTTTTCTTTGAACGACGAGGAACAATACTGTCTATTGATTGATCGGTTGTACATGTACGTTATTTTACGTCCCATTCGAGAATTTTTTTTTCACTCATATAGAGTCGTCACAATGCAGTCTATGTCGTATTTGTAGTCAGAGAGTGTGCGTGAAGAAGCACGAATAAGGGAAAAAGCAAACACTAGAAGTATGAGTTTTGATAGAACAATGTCGTATTGATCTTTTTTTTTTCTTTTTTTTTACTTTCGAGAAATCCACATCACGCAAGCACGTGTACACTTGCAGTTCCATCCCAACGTAACAAGTTGGCCTGTTTCCCTGGCCTTCCCATAATGCTGCGCAAACGAAGGCCAGGCACGCACTGATTTATGGTTTCCTACTATAGGAGAGTTTTCAACATGGCGGATTACATGGTGAGTAACGTGGGTTCAGATAAATTGGTTAAAAACATAGAATCTAGCTGTATCATTTCGGATTGATGTTTATCACTGATATGATACGGGTCTCCCATATTATATGCCCTCATTTCATGTATTATACAATTGATCGTAATTATCTACACCTGTGAAGCCGAAGGAGGGGGTGGACCTTAATATTATAAAATAAACAACCGAATGTAGAGTCTGATAGAACTATTAAAATCCATAAAGTAACAAAACAACACTTTATTAGCATAATATGAAAATGTATTTGTCCTGTTATGCTGTACTTCAGCTGTGAGACTCCGACAACTCGAATTTCCTCGGGGTTTTTTTCATACTAGTCAGAACTAGGTTACAAGAAAGTAGTCTCCGTCCTATGCCTTACTGGCAACTGCTTAACCTGGATTTTTTTCATGAACCATGATAATCTTCCACAGAAGCAAGAAATGGCGATTTTCATTATTCTATTGTATCTGAATGAACTGTAAGCCGACTCCCAGGGCTCGGGTTGATATCAAATCAATGGTCATTCATTATGTAGAATAGCAATAAAATCATGATTCTAGCTACATGTATATATAATTTTTAACTTTGTGTACAAAAATTATTTACTTATAATTTCATATGCATATAATGAACATTTAAATATGTATATACATTTAATCATTAGTAATCATGGTAATTACCGGTATATGGACTGTGTAATTTAATATGATTAACCTTATTGTTGACAAACAGTTGATTTATTTTGAAGATCCTACACATATAAGAATTTATGGAAAGAAATTAAATGCACTTATGTAACAATCTTTGTAGCACAATGTAGTGCGGCATACAAAATAGTTTGTATGCAGATGTCAGTTCAAGTCTGACCAGAGATCACTGCCGTGCAATTAATTTTTTCATCTAAACATAGCTTCTTAGTTAATTAGTTTTATGTTCATATTAAGTCCATAATTATCGTGATTATTAAGAATGTGAACGAAGGAATTAAAAAAACCATTATCATCCATACTTTATTGATTCTCTATCTATGTTTAAAGGAAATAATCAGTGATGGAGAAGTTAGTGATATTATAGATTTTCATAATTCTAAATACGAAAGTGCCATAAAGAATTTGAAACCCTTACAGCATCAAGCTTTGTCTTGCATTGTTGATAGGAACTCCAAAAGTGACCTGATATGCATGCTACCCACAGGTTATGGAAAAAATTTAATATATGAACTTGTTCCTCTTGTGCTTGAAAAGAAGTTTGATCAAAATACTGTTTTGTTGGTTTTAAAACCTTTAAGGAAAGTCCATACTTTTACGGATCCGGTTTTAATTTTATACACCAATATAAAATTCTGATTATCACTTTTTTTGTAATAAAATATTTTGGTTGCTTGAAAATAATTTATTAAGTATATATTTATTAATTTATAGTATCAATTTGAATACAAAGCATTTAATATATTCTATTTATGGAAATTAATACTTTACACTTTGTCCATAGGATTTATATGCTTTTAGCACATACACAGACACAAAATTCTTAATTGCCTTTATGAACCTAAACCCTCTTTTTTTTTCTTTTTTTTTTAACAAACTAACTTGAGATTTATTTTTATAGGTTTTAGGCCTATATCATCTTTTTTAATTTTGCTTTCGTTTTAAATTTTGTAAAAAATGATTGAAAAACTTGATATTCCAAATATGGGGGTAAACGTGTTCAAAGGGCTATTTTGTTAAATTTTTCTGGTCAATCACAATAAAGTTTGTGTTTTTGTTAACCTTAAATATAATTCTTACTAATTCTAAAGAAAAAATAGCATGTAAACAATTTACATTTTCAGAATTGTTAAAAATAAAAATATTTTGAGATTTTATTCTTAAAGAAGTGGACAGATTCAACATCAATTTGTTAATGTTTACCAGGAAAAATTTCAAATATTCTCCTGGCAAATAAATATTTTTTGTCTCCACAAGTTTTAATAAAAATTTGATCTGATTTGGTGCATAGCTAAATAAAATAAGACATCACACTTCTTTATGTTAATTTTGGCTGTTGAATTTTTAGAGGTATGTACTCCGAGACGTGTTGTATGAAAATTAACCTGCAAAGATATGTCTTTTATGGGTGTTTTAGTTAGTTCATGAGTTATCCAAGGTATTCAAGTTAAAAAATGATCAGTTTGACAGAAAATTTTGAAAGTACGGGCCTACCTTAAACGTTATTATTGAGCAACAGCTTTCAAAACTTGGTTCAAGTGCGATGTCTATGTATAAAGAAAATATGAAGGAGGCAGATTTAAAGAAATTAAAGGAAAATAGTGTTCAATACATTTACTCTCACCCTGAACATATCATTGGCAAAAAGAAATATATAATGTGCTTTCTTCGGATTCCTTTCAAAGCAGGATATGCGTTATAGTTGTCGATGAAGCATTGTGTTCTTGACTGGGGGGGGGGGGGGGGGGAGTATAGACTTATGTTCAGCAGAATCAGAGAGTCGCGAGCTGTCTTGCCAGACGTTAAACTTGTTGCCCTCAGTGCTACATTATCAAAGACAGCTCAGAGGGATGTTGCCAAACTACTTTTAATGAGAAATATGAAAGTGGTCGCATCCCAGCCTACCCGTGAAAACATTTCATTAGTTGTCATGCAAAGACCCCCACTAGGTTCGAACATTTCCTCAAAGGACACGTATGACTATGTTTTCCTGCCATTATTGAATGAGTTGAAATTGAAGGGTCAGAAGTTTCCACTGACAATTGTGTATTGCAGTGGAAGCATTGATTGGGTTGGATATGGTTTTGAAGTATCTTCAAAAATTCTTGGTACCGACATGCATGTTGGTAATAAAAGTCCTGAGAATCAGCGTGTGGTAATGTACCACTCATCCATTGAAAAAGGGAACAAGGCATGTATTTACACTCATAGTATTGACAAACAAGAGGCCAGGGGCCACAATGCTAACCTGAGTCACTATGGTGCTGGTGTTCTTCATAAGATTCCCCCCCTTGTTTATGTACTGTAGATTCCTATTTGTACGCGAAGAATTAATTATCGCGTAATTTCGTGAGACGCCTAACTCGCGAAATAAAACTATTCGCTTTAATTTTTATGGTTATGAAATCCATGTAAATCCTGTTAATCAACCGTTCATTCGCGAATTGTTCTCGCGATGTGCCGTTAAAAAGTCATTTCGCGATAATAAGTTATCGCAAAAAATAATATACTATATTCCTATATAAAACTTTATGGGCCTGATTTCCTACAAGCTTCTTTAAAGTGGGCAATTCTTCTGTGTAACAAATCTAACCTCTTTTAGAAGTATAGTCCTTTGAGTATTAGTCAATCAATGTTCAAAGCACTTCCATGCCCATGTTTTCTAGACATATATTCCACATGTCTTCCTCATAAAGAGACTCAAATAAATAATTATGTAAGAAATCTCAAACATTTTCATTGGAAACTATGAGTCTCGGAGATACAAAATACAAGTGTTAATGCAGCCTGTATGCATGTACATGTTCTTGCCTTCAATTTGGATAATAGCATAAGGTAGAAACCCGTCATACCTATCTGTATTCTGAATTCCATCCAGTAAAAATTCTCCCCTTGAAAATGGGCTTAGTCTTTCATCTTAAAAATTAAAAACTCCCCTTTACCTTAGGATTTACAAATTTTAAAACAGAACCAGGGCTGTTTGGGAAGAAGTTGATGTGAAAAATTTACAGATGGACAGACAAAAGGACAGACGATGGACTGTGAATAAGTGATTATGAATTTAAGATCACCTGAACTTTCAGCTGAGACAAGATATCAGTATTGAATGAGTGAATATTTCTTTAGATAATTTATTTTCTCTAAATATTTGACATTCACATTGCAAATTTTGATTCTAAAAGAATCAACACAAAATGATGTACAGTTACAATTTTTTTTCGTAGCTTAAAGATATTATCTTTAAAAACCTTTCTAAGCCTCCTTGTGAGTCTCCACTAAAATTAGTGTTTGCTACAATAGCCTTGGCAATGGGGGCATATCTGCAACATGAAGAGCGGGTCATACATGTTGGATCACCAATGAATATGGAAGGTAAACAATAATATTGATAATAATGTAATATAACGAATTAAGCATGTTGAGTGTTGCATGAATCGGTCAAAATCCTCAGAAATGTTAAATTTTGTTTCATTCCATTTAAACAACAAAATATTGTTGATCAGTTTCCAACAACATGTTGGGAGAGCTACAGATATGAATTCAATGCATTATATATTACATTATTATTACACATTTATAAACATTGAATTTATGTGAATTGCTTCAATCATGCATAAGTGAATTTTAAAATAAGATTTTTGTATAAACTCAACAGCCTATATACAGCAAGTTGGCCGAGCTGGCAGAAATGGGAAGCAATGTACTGCAGTGATATTCTTCAATAATTCTGATTTAGGACGCCAAGGTGCTAGTAAATCTGTGAAGGATTTTTGTAAAAATGACTCTGAATGTCATAAAACTGTTATAAATGCCTATTTCGGCTTTACTTGCAATGACAGCATGGCCACTGAAAGGCCTTTATGTTGTGATGTCTGTAATGAAGAACTTAAAAGTGAATGGCATTACGAGACACCCATGGATGAGAGGAAAAATGTGTTTTAAGACAAGCCATACAAACATATGAACAGGCCTCAAAGTTAGAAAAGGTTGTATTGCCCGTTCACGTGGAGAAGCTTGTTTTCAATGCACTTTTCTATATCAAGTGCCATTGAAAAAGATTTTACATATCCTTGTATGTTATCTGCTACTTTAATTAGCAACAATCATATGCCAAATGTTAGGGCAATTTCATTAAACAGTGTTATACCGTGGCAAATGTCAATCAATCCTTTGATATTGACATGATTAAGTTATCTATTTGACTTAATACCTTTAAATTTTAGATAATCTGGACTGGTTTATTAGTCCCCTACTGGTGAAACCAGAGGGGAGTATAGGCTTCCTCTGAGTCTGTCCGCCGGTCCTTCTGTCCCTCTCTCAGTCAGTCTGTCCTTCTTGGTTTGTCGCCTTTTTTTCTAAACACTTGTAAATATTAAGCTTATTTTTTAAATGTAAGTGTACCTTGATGATTTACAGATCAAGTTTGAATTGAATTCCACAGAATTTGCGTATTGACAAATAGTCCATAAAATGTCTCATAGGCAGACTTTTCATTCAGAAGTGATTGCTGCAGAGCCAACAGTCGCATACTTTGAATGATTATTATTTGCCTTTAAGATGCACATAAGATATTTCAGGCAAGGTAGCATTCGTTCTCTGTTAGGAATGTTCACATTCATAAGAAGACACTTAAATGCAAAACCCATCTCTAATAGTAAGTGTGCATACTCATAAACACTGTCTCTGTGATAAGATGCATGTTTATCTTTTGTGTTTTCTGATAGCAGAGGAATAAAAAGTGTCAATGGCTTTCCCTCTGTTGAAAGACACATAACTTTGTAGTAAGATTTGGGTTCACTTGGTTGGATTACCTGATGCAGAGACTTGGCATTTTTCAAAATGAATTTCTCCACAAACTCACCCAGTTCTCTCTCAATAATAGCGTGATTCTGCTCACATGTGATGTTGGAAAAAATTATCCCATTAAATGCTTCCGGTAATGATGAGCCCACACTATCCATTCCAAAATGCTTCAGTACTGCAGCTTTCACATGGTCATTTATGACAGAAATAGCAAGTTCTTTTCATGCATCATAGTGATTCTTCACATCCTCGGAAACCTGTGAACGCCGCAATTTGATTTTCTCTGCATGTAATGTGCCTGCTTCCGTGTTGTCCTTGTTATACAGAAGATTAAACATAATAGTCAGGAAGTTCATCTGCAGATGAAAAAATTCAAATGTTATTGGTGTCAAATGTTCGAATGTTTCTTTGCTTTTAGGTGCTGTGGATCTTAAACGTTTCGCACCCGAAAACGCTCCCTGGTCAGCTGGTCAACAGCTATATGAATCTTAGTAGAATCACTCACTTGGATGCCAGCTTTGGTATAAATGTCTTCAATTAACTGTTCATAACTGTCCAAAACATCAACAACCTCTGCATATTTTTATTCATTTTTGCATAAAAGTGTCAAAGGTATCACTACATTCGTTTTGGTTGTGTCAAATACATCAGGGGACTGAAGTTTTTCTTTCATATCTTGCAGCATAGGCTTGAAACACTTGAAAGCACTTATATGGTCAACAAAAATTTCCAGAACAAGAACAATACAATGCTTTTTGATGATGGTCATATCTTCTTGACCGGGAAGAAATAAGCTGGGTGGCATCTGCAAAAGTGGTGTCTGTGGACGTTGTATGGGTAAATTGTTGAAATTCGTATGTTGAATAATTGCTGCAGACACAAACCAATGTTGCATAAGTCCAACTTTGTCTTGCCTTTGCCGACTCACTCCGACTTTGAAATTCACATTGTCGCCTACAATGCGGAACCGCTTTCCAAACCTAACTGCATCGATAAGATCAGCATTGAACTTCCTTCCAATCTCCTGCTGAACCTTCAGCACAGTGCTATGTGACACAGTAACACACCAATGGCTTGAAGCCTGTCATATACCAACAATTTTTTTCATTCTCAACCCGGGAAAACACATCTTCAGTAACTTTCTGCAGTTACATGCTATGTTTCAATGCAATGTAGTTTTGTTAAATTCTGATAATTTTTCAAGCTTGGGAAACATTTTCTCTTCAATTTTTACTTTTTACCTCTGGTCATTGAAATGTCGATGACAGAATATTTTTTTAGGGAAAAAAATCATTAAAGAAAATAAAATGGAATAAAATTTGAGTTGGACTAAGATGGCTTGGGCAAAGCTAAGACATAAATAAAACCTGTACAAGATAAACTACATGTATATGAGTTCTGCATGCCTTAGACACAGATACTAAAACTCACAAATTTTCATACATATTTTACACAGGAGTAGGAATGCTTAAGTTAAAGGTTTCTGGAAGCGGATCCATGCCTTTGCCATTCAACCTCTCAGACTGTTTCACAAAGGAACTCATATGAAAAAAATCTTACCTCGATCTGTCGTATTATTATTATTTTCAGCAACAATAAATGGTTCAATGGTTTGAAGAAAAATAGAAAATTCAAGCTTTCCATAAAATGGCATATGGTTTTATTGATGACATATGCCCATGTCATGGTATCATGAGTTACAATTAGTATATGTTATTATTCAATCAACAACCTGCAAAATAAAATAAATCAGCCTCTGCTGATTAGAGATCCACGACAGAGATTTTTTTTTTGCAGAATTTCAATGTAAATATGCTTTACTTTAATCCGTTGAATGATTAAAATCACTTGTGGATTATCCTTGTATAAGCTGACTTAAGAAAAAAAAATCCGAGAACACAACTAGAGCAATAAAGAGCAATAAAAGCATTGTATAAATTAACTTGCCTTCTGGTGAACCTTTCCATTTGCAATTGACATTGCAATAAACCGCTGAATGCGAGAAAGGTCCTTGTATCGTCGATTCATCAAAATTCCATATATCAGACCTAATTCATTGGAAATACTACTGTAGTGTTCTTCACTCAGAATGTTTTTTCTACTTGTTGACACAGCTAACAGAACATTTGTTAATAATGGCTGGTATTGCAACATTTCTTTCAAGACACCAAACCACTCAAACTCAGCCAAACCTTCATAGGAAGTATTACTTAGGTAACTTCCTTTCAGTTAGAACCCTCGCATCTTCCTCTATTTCCAGCAAAAACATCCCATAGAGATTTCTTTAGATCTTTGTCCTTTAATAAGTCTTTTGCTACGTCATTGGAGGAAAGCCTCCTGCATCCCCGAGTTTTCAAGGCAGATGTTGCAGTATCTTTGTCCTCAATTATCAGTGTTTCATTGTAGTCGTCCATTTTCATACTGTTGCCAAAAAAATATGAAACAAGATATGAACATTTATTTTCATTCAATTGAATGAAGAAGATATATTCTCTCTATTCTGTTTTCCTATTATACTTTATTATCATAATTCTTTTATCATAAATCCCCCAATACTTCTGTTACCTGCCTGCATATAAAAGCTTTCACATTCATGAACCTCATCAACTTCATTACCAGTTTAACCCAGGTTAGGACTTGAACCCAAATCTCTCATGATTCGATGAGTGCTTTACCATTAAGCAACCCAGGTTTTTCTTTAATGATATGTTGATGAGGCACTATGAATGAAATGCTGCACTGAATAAAACTATTTGCCTTTCAAGACAATCATCAATGAGAACCAAGACACGATTTAAAACTGAAGATTTTCAAAACCAATTGTTAGCATGATACTACACTACACTACTATTCTAGAAAAAAAAATCTGAAAGTCTTTGTATCTTTCTGTCAGACATTGAAATAATTATCCAGTCAAATTGTGGTAGAATGTATTATTCAATACACATATCATTAATGCAAACCATTTAGGTGGCAGAGAAATATCGGTCTAGAAACTGGAATCTTCTTGAGGATTTCGTATCACACTGACAGGATATAATTTATCAATTTCCATAACATCAGGATCTGTACTGCAATAGGATGGCTCCTGTGTGGTCTTCATATTCCGATTATAATAGTAACGACAAGAGTAACCTTATTTAAAAAAGTGTAAGTTATCTATCAATATACACGTGTTTATTAATTTCTAAAATGTATAAAATTATATACAATTTCTTTATTATTCATTGGTTTGCAGAGGTTAAAAAGACTGTTATGTTGATTACTGGATGAAAACCATTTAGGCATTAAGCTACTATCAAAAACACATAATATTCAAAATACACATATAATCCCTATTAACCGCCCCGGACTTTGAAAAATTGCAAAAAGGAGCGGTTATTTTGGTATTCTCTTTATGATATATTTGTCAATTTTATATTTTAACTTCAAAAATTTTTTTTGAGAAAAAAATAAGTACAAGGAACCACAAAAATAATGTCTAACTTGACTTAAGTGAAGACAATCCACTCAAATTATGCTAAATCATTTATTTTCCACTGAGAAATTGGATAATAGACAAGTTTCATTTTCACTTTCTTTAATATTTTGACACGATTATAGTTGATTTTAAATCACTGTACAGGGGGCCCTTATTTCCTGTAAATTGAAAAAGACCTAAGGGGGGCGCTTAAGATAGGGATTAAACGGTAGATTTACTGTTCGTGAGGTTTTCAACTCTTCACTCATTGAAGCCGCACACTCCTTCCAGTAGTTGTTTGATATGCACTATGAGTGTCGACAGGTGGATTAACTTCTAAGTAATTTATTAAAAATTGCTTTTCCTCATCAGACCATCTTGATCCAAGATTCTAAATAATAAATGATCATTGCACTTCATGTTATCATAGCCTTTCAAATGGATTTTTTGAATCGAGAAATGATTATTTTGTATAACTTATAGACAACATTGACAACAATAAAATCTAAAATATCATTTTTTAAATATGTTTAGTAATTACCGATTTAAAACATAAAGTAGATAAAAATTAGGTATAATTTAGTGTACATGTATTTAAGAAAGGTGACACGAAGAGAGATTCATATGAAAAATTCCCAATTGATTTCAGTAAAATAATCAGTACCAGCAAATTTTAAAT